ATCAGTCAAAGTTTATCTTACAGTTATAAATAGTACTAGATGTTATATCGACGTCATGAGAGTATAATGAAGATAAAACAAACAATACAGTAACATTCGAAAGTGCACTAATATTTATTCTCAATTTTATTACTTCAATAATAATACATTTAATTTTCTAGTTAAATATTTATGTCTTTGACTTCGTATTTGACTTTTATTTAAAACTCTTTAAAATTTAAATTGAGATCAAGAAAGTTCTTAATAATTTAACAGACTATTATTGTTTTTCATGAATCATCTTTTTTAATGTTTTTTATAATTCATCAAAATTGTTCGATATCACTAAGACTACTATCGAATAAAGTTTTGACTTCATTAATTAATCTTTTATAATCATCGAATTTTTATTCATATTGATGATGAATAAATTGAATACAGATATTTAAGTTCTAATTGATGATCTTCTAATTGTTTTCTTATTGTGTTCAAATAAACGATGATGTTCAATCAAATTTTGAAGATAAACCATATTCATACAATGATGTGCATAATCGAAGAAACGAACAGTCGGTTCAATAGATGATGTGGTAAGACCACATCGACTAAAGTCGAGCATTATAAGTGTTTAAAATGAATCGAATTTATATATCCGTTAAAAATAATGAGAAAAAATGTAGGAGTAGAATTAGACAAAAAGAAACAAGAAGACAGCTATATTGCTTCTATATAAATAGACTAAATTGAAAACCGAACTAATTGATCCCTTCTCCAATAAAATTATAAATCAAGAATATATGATTTATTCTGTCTCATAGAGAAGATTTGAGTGAGAATAAATTGTTTGCTTGCTAGCATATCCACACCCTCACTGATTTGTTTATAAGGATTTTTATATGTAAGAAGAAATAATGAGTCATATTTAGAAAATGATTTAGTCTGGTTAATTTTAATAATCAGTTATTTGAAATGATCGAATAAAAATTGTATGATATTTCTTGCCTGCATATTTCTGTTGTAACAATATTCAAAGATTTCTTTAGTTTTTTTTCTTCGTTAAGAATCTTGATTAATCGATGATGAAAACATTTTAAAATTTAGAGTTTTCCATAGAAAAAAATCAATCTTCATTATTCGATTTGATTATTTCTTAAAACTTTGTTTTATCAATGAACTAAACATAGAATTTCTATGATCAAAATAATTCTTTAATATAATTTTATTCGATGAATAATAAAATAAACTCGAAATTATTTTTAAGCTAATAATTATATTTTTCAAATGGCATTTCTATTTGTCGTTCATACTTGGAATTTCTATGTAGCATAAGAATTTTCTTTTCAATATAAGTTTTTAACGATGTTTGTTCTAATGATCCATAAGATACTTTTAAACTTTCTAATACTTATGGTAATTGATATACAAGAAAATCTCGTCTATGAACAATATTATCATCATTAGATATAATATTTGGATTAATAGGTGCAGTAAAAAAAATATTTTTTGATAAATCATTTCCATGTAATGTCTGATCCATCAACATTTCTTTAAAAAGTCCAAGACATGATGTTGTATTAACTTTATCAAAGAATACAACTTATTTAATATTAGATAATTCACGTGTTAATTGACAAATAGATAACATAAATTGTTCAAGTTATTCTTCAGTTACACCTGCATGTAATAATAAACGATAGAATAATGATTTGATTTTACTATGAAGTATATATTCATTAAAAATTTCAATTGATATTTGTATATTTGCTGAATAGGAATTATCAAGTAATTGTTGAAGATAAAAACTACATTCAATCAATAAAAAATTAATTAATTGTAATGTAATGCATGAATTAATTTTTGAACTATGTTTATTGCATTTTCACTTCTAATAGTTAGAATTGTTTTCCATAAATATCGTAAGATATCATTATTATATTCACAATTTCCTAATGAATTTCGAATATCTTTTAATAAAGGAGCATCAATTAATTCTGGTTTTGCTTGAATTTCGTGTCCTATAGGAATTGAAATAATTGATTGTGGTTGAATATATATTAAACTTTCATTAAATGCATCTTCAATATGAGGATGATAAATATCGACAATTTCTACATCAATTTCATCATTATTATCAAGTCTCATACGTTTTAGTTTTACTCGGCTAAGAAATGTATTTAACAAATTATTTTTATTATCTAAAATATTAGCTATGATAGTAGCTAATAACCATAAATTAGCACGTTCACGTATACGTGAAGCCATATTGTCATAAATTGAAGCATTGATTATATTAGAATTTAACAATAATGATGAATAGAACTAGAGAAAGAAATGTTTTTCCAACATCTTTCTCATCTTCAGTAATTAAAGATAATTTACGATCACGAATTTGAAATAATTTATAAACAAAATTTTCAGTTAAAATAAATTTGGTTTCATTTATAATTTGTTCAAAATCATGATATTTTATATCGATTAACTATGATAAACATGTATTAAAATAATCTTTAGATTGAAATTCTTGTTTTAACGAAGGATTTGAATTATTAAATAATTGTTCTAATTCACGTGAAACATTATTTCATAATCATCATGTAATAAATAGAATGAAAAATTTGGATCATATAAAATAAGATATGTACGAGAATAATTATTTGTTTGAAAAATTTATTTATGAAAGTGATTTTGCTTCATCTATTATTTGTTTCATTGCTAATGAATCAAAATTTACAACTGTTATATTATATCGATGAAAATGTCAAAGAAAAAATATCACACGATGATATAAAAATTTTATTTCTTGGTAATTTCGAAGCATATTTAGTTGTACAATTATAAATATAATTACGGCATTCATTAAAATTTTTTTAATTTTTCCAAATCAACCGATTATTCAATATTAGTTGATGTTACTATTAATTGCCGATGAATAGTTTCATTTTCATAAGCTTTAAGAAATCGAGCAACAATTTCTTCTTCGTCTTCTCGAATAAATGATTGATCAAATAGGTAGAATTTGATAAAAATTTTCTTTAATAATCCTATGATATTTATTTATATAAGGAATTTCAATAAAACATTTCCATTGTTGATTTTCTGATAAATAAAATGTTAAATTAGTATTTATATTAGTTAATGATCTACAAATAAATAATGATAAAAATGTACAATTTAATTCTTCAAATGGTGCAAATATTTAAATATTAAAAGAAACTGATGAATTATTATTAATTTTTAAATCATCTGTAACAAAATAAATTAATTAATAATGATAAATTTAATGTATCATTGATACGAAAACAAAATCTATCTTCATCTTTATATTTCTTATCAGTATTTTTAATAGCACGTGCCAGATGAGTAAACAAAGTACCGACGACACGTTAAAATTTGAAAAGACACTTTATTTGGTACTTTGCTGAATGAAAAAGTACTTTGCTTATTGGTTATACATTAGCTTATCCATAAATTACTTCTTTTCTTTTCGTTTTATTTGTAGGTGGAGCTAAGATAACTCGTTCTTCTTCGAGATTTATTATCTACTACCGGTCGTAGAGATTATTGTTTTTTACTAAAGCAGGTTATTCAATCTATTTTTTATCTTAGTACATTTATTTCTTATAGTTATTTACGAAAATACTTGGAAACCTTTTTCTACAAATATCTTCTCCTATACAAGTGCTTTTTGAATTAGTTTATAATGTGGTAATTAACTCACGAAGAGTACCAAACAACAAAATAATTTCATATTCTTTTCATTGGCTTATAAAAATAGAAAAGGGGAAAAAAATTACACTTTTTGTATATTCAACATGTAGTATGTCTCTCAAGGATTTATCTCTGGAAAAATCAGTTCTATATATTCATTTGTAACAGTAGAAAAATAGCAATCTTGAAAAAAACAATTCCAAGTTTTTTCCGCAAACAACTGTATTTATTATTATGATGATGATTGTTGATATGTTTTACTTCGTTTACATTATTTATTCTATAGAACTATTTCGTCATGAAAATATATGAAGAGTAAAAACTTTATCTATGTTTTCTTGACATTTTTTTTTTACTTTAGGCACAGTATGGTATTTTGAGTTCCAAAACAATGTACCAAATGATACTTTGGCTACACGTTCGACTTGACGAAAGGTATTCTATTTCAGATTCCTATTAAAAACACTGTTTCTTATTAATTCGATGAGTTTTTTCTGATAAAAAAATATTAAAAGTAAAAAACTTTTTGCTGAAGTAAATTAAATGTACGAATACTGGCTATTCCATAAATATTTTGAATTTATGGTTGTATCGGATTATTTTGTTGAAATAATCGAATTAATTGTGTATATATATGATGAGGATCACGAAATCCTGCTGAAATATGATATGGTCTTAAATCTTTTCAATTTATTGTTCATTTTCTAGAAAAATAATAAAGAGGTCCATGTACTTATTGATTTAATAAAATTTCTCTAAGACAATGATGCATTTTATGAATATCTAATATGACAAATATTAATGAACGAAATATTTTTATACGTAAAAAATACTAATCGAATATCATCTTTAGTAGCAATTGAATACTATAATATTTGATGATTGAATTCTTTCTTCATATATATTTTGCTCGTAATGGATTATTAAAATCTTGAATTAAATTATAATTCTAAATAAAACAGAAAAATATTATTTTATTTCTGTTGCATATTAATATACTTCATTTTTATAAAGAGTTACAAAGTTTATCATAATCTTCAAATAAATCATTGAATTTAATTTTCTAAAATAAAAATTTTTCTTACTTTCCAATCTTTTTCATCTTTCATAATAAAATTTTTAATAATATCAATTCGTTTCCATTCAAATGCTAAATTTAATTGTTCACGTTTTTATTCTTTATTCGTTTCGAATGAATCATCATTAGATGTTACTAGAAAAAATATTTATTTGGTATAATAAGATATTTTCTTTCGTTTACCATTAAGAACTGCGTGTGATATTGCTAAATCAAAATCTGCTTCAATATGACTATGAGCTTTTAAATCAATAATAAACCAATTCAAAATAAACAATTTCATCATGTTCAATTGATGAATTCATAGTTGATTCTGGATTTAATTTATTATCAATAATTTTTAATTGTTCACGAAGTTTAGTTTTGATTTGTTCATTTTCTTTCATTGTCAATGGATCTTCACTAAAAATAAAAAGTGGATAAATATTTCAAAATTTTTTTTAATTTTGTTTGATCAGATGATTTGACATTTGCATGATATTTGTTATATAAATAATAACACCTAGCAAATAAATCACAACATCCACCTGCACCTTGCAAAAGAAGAACAGAAACTTTATTTTTTAGAACATTTTCATGAACTAAAATAATAAATAAATAATCTTCTTTTTATTCTATTACGATCACTTTCAATAACAATAAGAACAATCATTTGTTTTATTTTATAATGAAAATGAATTTCCACATATAGATTTTTGTAAAATGAGATTGAAATTTTATTTCACTTCCATATTCATGTTTAGTATCATTATCAATAAATATCAAAAGTACATGATTTGATGCAAATGATCTTTCATCAGTTTTTGGTTTATTATAAATAACATTTGTTCCATAAACATCAAGTTGTTCAACACTCGACACACAACCCCATGACGCAATACCCTTGAATTTTAGTAACGATTTTATATTACAATAAATAAACAATAACTTACAATAAAATGAATAGATTGAGATGGATCTGGATTTGTTCGATTAATTTCTCCGAGAAGTTTAGTAATACTTGAATAAATACCATTTGTTAATACCCAAACATCTAAAGAAAAATAAATATCTCAGTTTTATTTTTGAAAATGTTTTATAATAAAATCTTGATGAAATATTCGACATAATTTTGATTTCATATTATATTCTCTTGCATTGCCAATTACAGATACAACAAATGATGGACGATAAAATCAAAATTTATATTATACATATATATATATGTACATATAGACGTAAATCACAACCTTTTTTTGTAGGATTTTCAGGTATATTTGCTGTACTTGGAATCAGAAACATATCTTTTTATATTTTTCGAAAAGTAAAAAATATTCTACTGAAATTTTAGTACTCGTAGAACTTTTTGCTTTTACATATCCTATAGAATATCAAATTCTTTATAGAACAAATGTTATTATCGAAATAGAATTCATATATAAATTTTTCGAAAAAAAATTCAATAAATTTACTAGATGTAAACGTTATTGAAACAATGATTTTTTAATTTGTGCAAGTGGTGTATTAGGTGGTATTCAAATAAAATTTGCTCGATTACAATAATTTCGAGGAACTATAAACAAAAAAACAGAAAATAAATTAATATTTAAAATAATATTTTATTCTTACAAGTTATTGTTCTATGTGATTCTACTTAACGTATTTCAAAGATATGGTTTATCCTACTTTGATCGAAAGTAAAAATGTCGAATAGTAAAAATATCGAAAAAGTGGCGCTACCTACCACGTCGTTTTTTCGACATTTCTACTTTCGATCAAATTAGGGTGGATCCTTAAATGTCCTTATTCAATTTATTCACTATTAATTAATGTAAATAAAATTCATCATCAATATGAACAAAAATTAAATGATTACAAAAAATTACTTAATGAAATTAATTCTTTATTCGATAACAATTTTAATCATGTTGAATAATTTCGATGAGTTATTGAAAAATTAAAAAAGATGATTCATGAAAAACAAAAACAATCGGATGAATCATTAAGTAAGAACGTTTTTAGTCTTTATTTAAATATTAAATAGTTTTGAGAGAAAAACTTAATACAGAGACAAAGACATAAATATTTAACTAGAAAGTTAAATGTATTGCTATTGTAGTAATAAAGTTGAGGATAAGTATTAGTACACTTGCGAATGTTACTGTGTTGTTTGTTTTATGTTCATTATACTTTGATGCGGTTAGTATAAAATCCACTACACTTCAACAATCAGGGGCGTAAGTCAGGTGTCGGAGCAGGGGGGGTGTAGGGGGGGGCGTAAGCCTAGTTTTTCTATTTTAATGGTCAAAAAAAGTGAATTTTCTAGAAGTAGGGGGGGGGGGGGGGGGCAACCCCTTTTTTCTTTTATTTTTTGGAAGGAGGGGGGGGGGGGTTATGCGCCCCACGCGCCCCCCCCCTATTTACGCCACTGTATATTATCGAAAATATGCCATAGTTACGTGGTCATTTGTATCAAAAAATAAAATGTGCCATGTTACCGATAAAATTAATACATGTAAATAGATCAATTCTTACAGTCTAAGGAATTACATTTTATAACTTAGTTCTATTAATACTGGAACTTTATTTATTTTTACACATTATTAAACGAAAATATAAATATCACAACATATTATTTTCGCTGCGAACAATACTTACAACAATAATAATCAATAGAGTAATTTCATTTTCATAGTACATATTGACATAAAAATAATTAAGATTAATTTCACTATTGAAATTGTAAACAATGTACAATTATTGAGTGGTAATAATCGTTCTCATTTGTATTGTGCCTTGTATAGTTCGATTGACAGGTGTCACTTTGCTTGTTTTGTTTAAGTTTAAAACAATATTTTTCAGTTGTGGAATAGAAAAAAGTAATGCTATACTCAGTCCCATTTGAGATACGCTCACTGGAAAATATGAAATTCGAGCAAGTAATGGATGTTCTTCACCTCTTATCAGAGACATAATTATAAGAACTATCGAAGGTATTCCAAGAATAAGTAATAAATTAACAATAGATAAAATACGTTGAATAACAAGTAAATCTCGAGATTGTCGTTGTTTTATTATTAATGTTTGAATATTTCCTTGTTGATGAATAAATCTTGTTATATGCATATAAATAAATAATAAACAACAAAATGGACATACATAAACAATAGGCATTGCCGAAAGAACACTAGGAATATTCATGTATGATATATTACAAAAGTAGTCATTTGGTGAATATATTATACCATTCAAAGGTATAAGAACACATAGAAGAATAGATATTATTATTATTTCTATAATAGGTAACATTATATATAGTTTTACAGATTGAAACCATCGATTTTGAGAATACATAATTCTCATAAAACGATAAAATGCCTAGAATTATTCAAAAAAAGAATATATGAATTTTCTAGTTTCTCCTATTTCAGATTACCTGATTTAGAAAATTCCAGTATAACATACCAAGCACTACAATAGCTAAATATCCTGAAAAAATACACCATGATGAATCAAAAGATTGATTGTACAAATCACCCAGAATTGATCGAATATTCATTGATATTAATATTGATGAATATATTAAAATTGTTAAATATATATGACCACAAAGAACAACAGTTATTTTGTCTTCACGTTTGATATGATTGTAATAGAGATGATATATAATAATAAGAAAAATTATACATGATATTAAACATGCAAATGTATTACAGCCAAGAGATACCGAACTAAGTATAAAACCATTGGTTTTAGTTTGATCATTAATCATAAGAAAAATCTCTCTTGAATTTGATTAAGAAAATGAGCAAATGTTTCTAAAAAAACAAATAAAATGTTCATAAGAAAAAATTTAATTCTGTTGAAAACATTATTAAATCTTAGTAGTTGGATTATTTCTTATTAATAGAAATTTGTTTTTTTGTCAGCATACATTAAAATTAAAATAATGAAATATCTCAAACAGAAACAATTATTTGTCAAAACTTCATTAGTTTAAATAATTTTTAATTCAATACTGTCAAAAGAATTTCTGTCGAAACTTTATGGATATTAAAATATATTTTATTTTAGACATTTGTATATCTCAAGAAAATAGAATACTTTTTACCTTTATAATCAATATAAACTAAGATTTCTACAGGTCATTATTCTATATTAGTGACATGTCAAGTTGTTTCAATATGATTTAAAATAAAATAGTGAATACATAGTCATACCTTCGAATGTATGAGATGAGACTTACGATGATCTTTATGTTTTAACTGAAGAAATTCTTGAAATATTGTCAGCCTATGTAACCTTCTTAATCATTCATGCAGCAATTTACTATAGGCCATTACAGCTTTAAGAAAAGATTTATATTATTATTAACAAAGTCAAATAACGATCTCTTGTATAAATATATATATATATACAAAGAGAGAGATATTTATTTGAATTTGATATAATATTATACACATATTACATTAAAAATATTAGTTTTGTATAATAAAATTCATAATAACAGAGATAAGGTTATAAATGTCTTGTAGAAGATTAATGTATTATATTTATTAAAAATTATTAAATAAAGAAAGTACTCCTTTGAATACAAAAACTAAATGAAGGTCATAAAAAGATTTGTTGAATATTTTATAATAATACAAATTGCATTAGCACTCTCTTAGATTAATTAAAAAAAATGAATGGTCTATTTCTTCAACTTGACATACAGTAAGATGCCCAAAGTCTTTATCCTGTGCATAAATCAGCTTTCTGTTCATATATCTCCCGAAGGTTTTGAAGAGATTTTTTGAGGAGTTTCTACAAGGCAGGATAAGATCGACATATAGCTGTGTAAATTACAAAATCGATCGATGTGTGGGTGTGCATGTATGTGTTACATACAGCCACACCCTCAGTCTATTGATATTTGTATGTTGGAGATTTCTCTACATAGAATATTGAATAGACCATCGAAAACTTTTTGTTAATTAAAAAAAAAGAATTGAGCAATAAAGAAAAGAAAGTTAAAGATTTTGAAGAATATTTGGTAATTGGATTAAATACATTAAACAAATGTCGTATTATTATTTATAATATAAAAGATAATTTAAAAAATGCAATAAAAGAAAAAAAATCTTTTATTAAAACAAATAATTAATTGTAATCATATTACTTCAATTATTTTAAAAAATAATTCATTGAAAATCAAGTGGTGAACCTGATTATATTTTAGTTTGTTGATCAATTCGACAATTTAAATCTATTGAAATTTTATTTATTTATATAATCCACTTAATCTACAAGTAATTTTTTTAAAAGATTTCATTTAATCCAAATGATTCCTCACAAATAATTTTAACTGGTAATCATATATTTGAACAATATCGTTTAAATAATGGTCGATTATCTCAATATAAACAAAAAGAATTTCAAAAATTTTAATCAATAAATATAACTTGTTTTTGTTGAATTAATGAAAATCATATTTTATTAGGATTAGATTATGGATTTATTTATATTATTAATAAACATGGACAAATTCTACAAAAATATAATCTATAAGTCAGAATTGATTTTATTTCATTAAAAAGTCTTCAGCCATATTGGAATTTTTTCTCATAATTTATTTCTTGATTAATAAATTCATTGAGTGTAATATTATTATTGAATAGAACAAAAATTGATGAATCAAATAATAATTTATATAATTCATTTCCAAACATAAAAAATTGGAGACAATTTATCAAAAATACAATCAACTTATAAATTATCATCAAGATTAATATTAAATGAAAAATCTTTATCTACAACAAATCTTGATCAATATTTAAATTCAACATTTCATAATAATCAAAATCAAATTATTTCTTTATTACCTTTTTCACGTAGTCTTTTTGTATCAGCAGCGTAAAACAAACAAAATATTCTTCTTTGTGTTTATAAATGGATGTGTTTTTATGTTTGAAAGAAGTGAAAATAAGGGTGTGAGTGTAGGTATAGATCTCGATGAAAAAAATAATTAAGCCCACACCCACCCCTGTAACCAATTATAATCATTTATATGAAATTACTTTTTCGAAAATAGCGATTTTATTAATAGTTACAAAACTTCACTAAAAAATCACGGAACTAATAAAGTATTTAATAATTAGAATTTATTTTATTGGCTGGAAGAAAACATAGTTTTTGACATTGAAATCCTTCATACTTGAATTCAAAATTTATGATTACGATTTTTTCTGAAGAGTGAGTGATATGTTAACCTGTCAGCCACATTCTCTCAAGATTTCAAGGCATTGAAATGGTCCGGAATA